CATGGCAACTCCTTTTTAATCCCGAGGGCGTAGAAACCGGCAAGAATAAATTGGATTAGCCCCTATCCCTTCCCAGTAAGGACAAGATGCCAAGCAGTTGAGGAATTTGGGTTCAAAGATAAGGTCCTGTTCACAATGAGAGTTCAAGTGTTTTAGGATGTTTCTTTATATCATCAGGGAGATGCTTGAGGTTTGTGGCTTCAACAACTGCATTTCGAATGTCACTGAAGCGGCTTCAAGGGCATGTGGAGCCAGGTCATAACTAAGGTGAAGGAATGACTTGGTGAATAAATTGACAAGGTAGCATCTCATGCCAAACGTTCGAGAAAAACAGCGGCCGATTACGAACAGTCATAAGCCTGGTCTAATGGAGCACACAATAAACAGCCAGCGGGCAGCTCCCTGATAGCGGTTAGAGATAAATTTCGCACCACAAAACAATGTGTATGAATGTCAGGGTTTTGTTTTAAATACCAAGATTTCGCTGTATGAACTCACGAAGTCGGGCACAGAGTAAAGCTCGCTCACAGTGTGACTGTGTAGCGGACTAGGACCTTACCAGCGTGTTCGGATAAATTAACAAGCAAAGTAACCAATACAAAATCACAAAATCACAATAGGAAAAGAATGAGTAGTCAAATGAGGACTCACGAATGTGTAGATCCAATAGTCCACTACACCGATCCAAATACAGTAACCGGCTGTGAAAGGAAATATTCACTTGTCGAAATTCCTACGGATGGTTCACGCATGGGTGATATATTCCAAGATAGGAAGATTATCCGCGGCTAAAAATGTCACGAGGATTTATTGTGACGTTCAACATTTGGCAATACCACAGAGATCTAGTCACACTCATTCAGCAGTCAACAAACAGTTCAACGGAGCGTAAATGCACTCGTTCAGCAAAAAGTCAGCAGGTCGCACCGGAAAATTGTGTATTCGTAACATTAAAACAAACGTCATGATACAGTATGTAAGACAGTTACAAAGTATAGTTTTAGTTCAGGAAGAATGGTAAATGTGACAACGAATTACCATTTGAACCGGTTACCCGTGAACTGCCAAGGCGCTTTCCACAGCTAGCTTCTGCATATTAACTTTAGAAAGTGGGGAGAGTGATAAGGACAGGCTAAATCTTCTGCCTTCAAAACATTTCGGAGTCAAGTTTTTTCATGTGTTGTTTTAGTACTTTATTTTTAATGATCCTTCTCAAGGTCACGGCATACCCATTTGGTACCAAAATCGGTTTTGCTACCGTTTAGTGATGTGAATCTCGTCCGTTTCCCATCCTTTAAGTCCTGGATGGAATTTAACTCATCATGGCTCATAGTGTCTTTCCTGATGGATTATCCTACAAATCGCGCCACCTGACCCGCGCCTTCACTGAACCCGGCCGCACCCAGGCTGGGGCACCCATTATTTGCTACATTTCTCACGCGGACAACAGCGTTTTGCAAGTTGAAGTGGAACACAGAGCCGTCGGACAAGACGTTCTTGATAAGGCAAGTGAAAACCGTTGGTTATAACACAGTCCCAAACAGTTGCTTGAGGGTCCATTCTGGATGTTGAGTCTGAACTTTCCAAAATTTCGTAACATTAGCATTGCACTAAACGCTCAAATAAGCTCATTGTATTAAACATTTACAGACTTGATGTAAGGTTGACTAGTGGAAGCTATATGAGTCAGGTCTACTAGTGGACCATGGCATCACTGAGCTCTAGAAACCTAGGGATAGCGGGCTCGATCTGGTATGGTTTTTTAATTGAAGAAAAGATAGAAGATCAAAGTGATATAGTATGGCTTACCAAAATGGAATCGTCGCGGATCCCAAGGTAAGGTCTAACGGTTTTATGCTAGGCGGTGTTTTAAGGAGCCACCGAAGAACTAGGACCCGCTTGGTGGGGTGCTCAGGACTTTGTTATAGTTGTTAGTTGTGTTGTGTCATGTACAGTGTCTCATATACAGTGAGACCGGATAGTTTTTGGATGTTTATTTAATCTTGATGTAACTCCCAGATGTGTAAATTGAGCTACCTTTTGGGTCACTAGGGCGAAATCACACCAATTACGAGACAAGGGGACTACTTTTTAGGGAGAACACGGAAGGTGGGTGGGTTGAATTAAATTTCTCTCTTCAAAGTTCGACTTAAAAACTTGAGCCTTTGCATTGTGCACAAGATCAACGGTGTGGATGGGCAGGTTGTTTTTTATAGACTGGTTATTCGCGCTCTTTTTGTCAGGCCACTGAGATTAGCCAAGTTTCGTAATTCAGGAAATACTGACGAGCTGTTTTCTTTTACTGCGGTTTCTTGAGCGCTCACTCGTTCCTTCCGAACTGGACGCATCGTGCTTCTGCGCCATGTGTAGCGTGTAATGTAATGTAATATGTTCAACCCATGGTCAGGACCTATCTCTTTAGAGGACCTGAGATGATCGTGGAAAGCGGAAAATCGTTTGTTTTGGCTGTTGGCTTGTGTTGTTGGATGAAGCCACCGCGGACCTGTTTCATGAGATCTCGCACGTTCTGCCGAGTAAAGCGTGGTATGAATACGCCTTCTATGTAGCCTATATGTTTCCGATAGTTAGTCCAGGTCACTTGCAGCCGTTATGTACCCTGCTTTTTTTAATACATTACACGTGAAAAGCAGAAAATGACTCGAAGATTCTTATATAATTGTTTTGAATAACAGTTGGGACCGGAGAACAGTCATCTTTTAGCCTATTCAGAGGTCTTGGTTGATGGATGTTCAGTACACGTAGTCTTAAGCTTATGAAAAAGGCGAATATCTAGTAAGCTTGTAATCATGATGTGTTTATGGTTCGAAACCTGTTGGTGGCTTATACGCAACCTCAATGTCTCCTCACCTATACCGGCATTGTTTTCGTCCTTAAGGGAGTGAACATGTTTCTTTATTAAGGCTGCTAAGTTTGATTTTGCTTGCACGACTCCCTAAGCTTACTACTGTCTACATCATTGTAGCTAAATTTCGCTGTAAAAGATCGTTTGTATAGGCAGCAGTAATTTGTAATATTCAGGGAATCGTCATACTCTCACACAGGAGATAACCAGAGGGTCAAATGAAGGTATAAACGCAGTGCCTTTTAGCCTCAAATGACGTAGAATGACCTGAAATAGGATTACAAAGGCAGGCGAGTGACTTTGCTTTGGCTGACATAGTGGAGGTAGTGCTTTGATGATAACATACTGGCCAGTCTTCACCCTCAGCCTATTGTAGCTGCTTCAGTTGCCATACGGGGTAAAGCTGCAGAGAAAGCCTCAACCTGATAAGCTTGAGCATTTGTTACCATAAATTCCAGCTATGTAAACAAACCAGTTGTGAAAAATGCAGCATAAGGCTCATAAAAACCAAGTTATTGCATTTCCTTTTGTTTTAAAGATGTCACCCGTCGCTTGAATCTGGACAGAAAAGTGCCTAGCACGGTTTAAGATTTTTAGAATTAATTCGATACAATAGCCATCGATATTTGAGCCCTATGTTCTTGTACCTACTAAGCGAATAGCATTTTTGGAGCTTGCTTACCGCACATCTGCTTCTAATGCTTTTTGCCAAAGGTTGCGGGGCAGAACAAAGCGGTTGGTCAATGCTTAGAGGTCTAACCTTCACAGTCTCCTGGCCCTTCAAGTTGAAAGTTAGAGCATGCTTGGCAACTTGTTATATAAAAATGGTGTCACATCTGTATTTGTTGCCAAGCACCGCTTTTGAGCCATTGGTTTTGGCCGGTGACCCTAATAGTCCTGTTTATGTGTGGGCGTCCTAACAGTATCCCAGCTCACCTACAACCATTATATTAGCACGGGCGCTGGCCTGTATTTCGCAGAAGCAATCACTTCCGTTGCAGCGTGATGCTTTTTTCGTATTTGTGGCAACAACCATTAATTAGCACGGACGCTGGCCTGTATTTCGCAGAAGCAATCACTTCCGTTGCAGCGTGATGCTTTTTTCGTATTTGTGGCACCCCAATAAAGTATATTAATGACTATTTGCTTTGAGTAGTTACACTCTTCCTGGCAGATAGATCACAACCAATTGACAGCGCATCCAGTACAGTTAAGGTGGCTCAAATATGGAAAAATTCTAGGCGGTTTACTTAACATAGTCCGTTTGTGTGAAAACTATTGGCTGCATGTTTGCAGGCCAGTAAGTACTTTTTGTGATCGACTGGACGACTTACGTTTTTGTACATGTATGTATATCAGCTGGGGCTTTTATTAGTTTATAATGCACCTCACCATTTTCCCAAACTGTATTGTATTTATTCCATCTTAGATTTGTCGGGAGCTTGGCATTGTGGAGGAAGCGGAGTACTTTGGAATTCAGTTTGTGGGTAGCAAAAACGAAATACTGTGGGTTAATAACCGCAACCGGCTTTCCAAACAGCTGTCTTCATCACCTCCCTACCACCTCTACTTCAGAGTAAAATTTTTCATACCTCCAGAGGATATCCTCCTAGAAGGGACGAGGTAAGATATTTTATACACTCGTCATTTTTATTTCTAGGCACCAATTTTACATCAACGTGGTCCGTCAACTAAAGGAGGGTGTGTGGGATGCAGAAATGAATCTTCAAACTCAGGCTCATCTGATTGCACTCATGGCTTATGTACAGTTTGGGAAGTACAACCAAAACACCACGCCCTGTAAATACGCGTGTTTCTGGCCAGATAGTCGAGGAGAGATTCCTCCAGATGCTATAGGTCTTGCGGCAAATTTTCATCGTGGTCTGGACGGATTCACAGTTCAGCACGTGCAATATGAACTTCTCCGCTTAGCTGCTACTGAAGTTCCATCATATGGAATGCACTTTTATGAGGTAAAGGACATTTTTGAAAGACGGCTCACTTTTGGAGTCGGGCCCGAAGGATTGGTGTTGTGTAACACGAATTACACCATCGATGATAAGTGAGTCTGTCACTGTCGATTTTCCGCCATTATTCCGGTTATCTTGGAAAAGAAAGAAAAGTTGCCTAACTAAATAGCATATGCGCTGATCTTGCTCCAGAAGGCTTTGCTTTTGGGCATAAGCTCGGTGAGACGGTCTATCTCTGCAACCCATTGTTCTACTTACACCCGTAGTTTTCGTCTGGTTCTTCCTTTGAATAACGCTGCGTTTATCGTTGGCACAGCTTAATTACTCCAGAAGACCACAGTCAGTTACTGTTTTATCTCAAACCATCAATAGAGGCCTATGCAGTACTTCCGGATATGTTGCAATGATAAAAACTGAACGTGATCCTAATTATTGACTGCGACACAGTTGCTTCACAGCTACCATGTAGTTATGACATAAAAATGAGGATTTCTATTTTATAGACCGTATTTTATCGGGACAAACGACCGAAAAAAGGTGCCTCCACCTTCGTGCAGGAGTGAAATAAAAATATCGTGCTAGAGAAAACAGCCATCAATGAGGCTGACTCAGCATCGTGTGCGAATCTGCACTACAAAGTAGACGTAAAATAGCAGGAAAACTTCAACTTAGCTGTCTGTCAGAGCGGCAACAGCATGTCTCATTGGGTTTTGTTAAGCGCTAACTTCCTAACCACTTGGAAATAAATCACCTGAGTCCAAGCTGTAAGAGCGCAAAGATTTTACGGCGCCCATTTCGGCTGTACCCACTTTTAGTTTGCGTTGCTAAGTAGGGGCTGTTTTCGGCTATTCATTTACTCGTGGTTTCAGATACAAAACAGTCTTCTTTTCCCGGAAGTGTTCTGATATGGATATTGCATATTAAGTTGCTTTAATGATAACATGTCGCCAAGTGTCTACCCATGCGTTGGCTTGCGGTTAATTTTCGTTACGCTAGGATAACATGGTGGACAGTTTTTGTATTTTTTGGCCTCCACGTCGAAGTAGCTAACTGTAGCAACCATAAATTAAGACACTTAAATCTGCCTCATATAAGCGGCGACATGTGGTTCTAACACTGCACATAATGCGGGTTAGAAAAATTTCTCACTCTTTGCTGCTACGTGCAGCTGACACAGTTCAGTCACGATTGATGCTGTCACCAAGATAGGTGAACTTATCAGCGATCTGAAGCTCTAGAGTTGAAGTTTCAAAAAGACGCAGATGACTAAAAATTCTGAAGACTGAGAATACTGAAAATGAGCAGAAGGCAAAGAGCTTATACCAAAAATCAGTGGCCACTCCCAGCATCAAATTTCAAATACATCGTGTGAAAAATAAATCGTCGAATAGCAAATGACGTAAAAATATGAAGACAGCTCTCCAGACGCATCCATTCACAGAGCGGTGTTTGACATTGATGATTATTCTCTTCGTTCTATTCATTTTCTGTGATCGACGGGATACTGATCCGAACAATAAGTTTCCGAAGTTCTCAGATTCAAATAGTTGTCACAAGAACCTTGTCAATTTGGGTAATCTAGGTGACATCGTTTTTGTTTTTGGAAGAGGAAAGAAGGCGTGTTTTTGGACGAACTGACCGAAGTTATCCTGCCCTTTAACACGCACTTTGCACCCACAAAGTGCAAAGTCACGCTTATGGGAATGCAGCCACTGAACACATCGCATGCGATTCAAGGAGGTTCAGTCGAGGCTGTGGAGTGTTCCCCGTATTTTTCGCATCTGCGATTTTGAGACAAAGCAGTATATCCCTGAAGTTTGGAGGACATGTGTGTAAGACTAACATATGGGCCGTTCTGCTGTACGGTTGTGAATCGTGGTCTCTGTAACCAGCCAAACTGCGAATTCTTTAGATCATCAATAACCCTTGTATTTGAACCCTAACTCATATACGTTGATGCCAGCGGCTCCGTGATAAGAGAGATAGCGTGTGTTTGGTTGCGCAGATGGGACTTCAATCGAGGCGTTTGTCCAGCATAAAAGATTTGGTGACCATAAATTGCGCATGGCGAATCATAATGTACCTATTCAGAGTTGCACAAACGGAGAGTTGGTCAACCTCTGACCTGATAGGCAGATATGAAAGGGATTGCGAAGTCTGAGTACCGTTGTTGAGACTTGCCGTGGAGTCTGAGGGGATGGTTTGAAATGGTGTGGGGCATGTCTACAAATCCTGATTGTCCGAATGAGTTTTTAGAAGTGAAGCACCGAGAACCGTCCGCGTTTAAATTTTCAGTACTAAACACTAAACTGAAGTAAAATATATTTTTATTTCCACAGAAGTTCGGACAATGTAATGAAAACAAGACACACGAACTCACAATCCCTTTTGTAGCTTGTCCGACCCACTGAGCCGGTACCATTTAAAGGCAGAATGACATCAATACTTAACGGAGGGATACCTGAACCGAAAGACCACGACTTGCGTTGAGGAGTCGAATTAAAGACGGTCTGGCCAGAGTATACAGCAATCCTAATGGGATGCAGCGTCATAGGGTCATACCTTCACATAATAGAGTGACTGACTGTCCTAAAATCTAGTGATTCCTGCGTATGTGCTCTCTTTTTAGCAACGAACCGTGTTTTTTGAAGAGGTATTTGAAGACCATCGTATAATTGGCTTTGGTATCTATTTTTTATGTGATTCACGACGTATTTCTACTAATAAGTGGGCATATGTTTGTTTACGTTTACTTCGGAAACGCAGTATACTGGCGTTAGCCTGTATTTAAGAATGTTTTTTCTCAAAAATTGATTCACGTCTGATTGTACTGTGATCGCTTTGGCATAAGGTCGCTTACTGTTTCAGAGCTCATTACTATTTAAAGACTGATGTTCTGCACGAGGTTGAAAAACACCAGCCATTACCATGACGTTTTGTGTCCAGAAGAAAGATATACCCAAAGCCTATCTGTCTTTAAGCTGACGTACTTCACTTTTTCTTTATTAGGACTATATGTTCTCTTTTTGGTGGACAGGAAGGTTGTAAATTCCTAATAGGGAGTTGAATTGGACCTGCAATTAGTCAGTGCGTAATTGGTCACCATACTATTTGGACCGGTACGAGTGCTTGTCGGTGTGAGTTGTCAAACGGCGCACACATCTGGTTGTTCGTTGCTGCCAAATCGAGTAAGGAGTGAAGAGTAAACTTACGTGCGCACGACTAACCCAAATCCGGCGCAACACGCAGCAACAGCTGAAAAGTCACCTGGTGTCTGTAGTCGGTAGCGGCTGGAGAGTAAAGGTACCTTGAGCTCATTCACCCTACATTGGTCTTGTTTTCGAGTTTCCGGAATGCAGCAAGTGTCTACTGATAAAGTGTGCAGATTCATTTTCAAAGCAGTTTGATCACCTGTTTGTTTAGGAGTTCACTCAACAACTGCTGACATAGCAATAAGAGAGCTAGATATGAATAGTGATGCGGATTAGGAAATATCAATCATGCTACTCAATCAGTCACTACCCTGGGTGCCTGACTAACTTGTCCGCAAAGTGAGAAGTGAATGTCAAGCGATACAGTTGAAAAGTTTTTCCTTATCCGTCTAGTTTTGTGTGGCAAAGAATGCGACACGGCTGATGTAATTTAAAGACACTTGCAAACCTCGTGTTTTTGTATGTTCTTAGATACTTTGAGGGACTCCTAACATAGACGGGAGAACGAATAGAACCTTCACTCATAGTGTCCGTCTCTATGATATGGCGAGAAGGTAGTGGTCTTTGGCGTAAGACTACGTGCTACAACTTCATGCTTGGAGGGTCAGGAGACTGCTTGTCAGACTTCTGTCCACTGACCTACCTGATAGGAGAAACTCCAGATACCGCATGCGCATCCTCTGGTGTGGTTCAGGGATTGCTGAGATGAGAAGTTATTCACAACATGATGAGTTTCAGCCACTTTGTGAGAGACGAACTGCTGCCCACGGATATATGTGTTGATAATGATGTGCTAGCTATCCCTGACTGCTGGTCTTTAGTCGGGTCATTTTCATCGGAAACAAACGCAGTGTTGCTGCACTGTCATTTATCCACACACTCATTCAATTATATTCAAAGCCCTAAAGTTCGAAAACAGGATGGGGGATGGACCTGATGCTAGCCTGCCGTAAACATTCTGGGTTAATAGCACATTCAAACGCGCAATCAGACAACCTGGAAAAGAAGAACAGAGCGAACTTCATTGACACTGGTTAGCCGCTATTCTCTGTAAAGTCTTCAGCCAAGAGCCCATGCTGGGAGAAAAACCGCATCAATATCACCCTAAGCCCTTGTAGTCTCTTTTGTACACTTCTGTCAACTCACACGTTCACCTCGTAGTTCGCGTCATTCTGTAGCAGGTACGCAGAAAAGCAGTCGTCTCCGTAGAGTGTGATTGGTATAAATGGCGCATGGCCGTGCAACCGCAGTTGCTGTTACCGTATGTTTCCATGACTGGACTACCTGCGACATGACCAAACAAACGTCTTCTAATTTCCACACTGACTCAATCCGACACCAAAGACAATTGAGACATCAATGGTCAGCAATCTGAGTGAACTTTACACCATCTGCCCACAGAAGCCATGTCTTGCGACCTCACAACATGTCCCTCACTGTAGTCTGACACATACCTCCCTTGAAACTCAGTGATACCTTTGACGCCGCAGGTGACGCAAGTTAGCAGATGTGATTTGGGCGTTTTAGATTTGGGCACTGGCCTGTTCAGACACACACCTCTTTCTGAGCTTTTTAAATTCACTAGAGCCTCCAGTATTTTCCCTTCATTTGGAAGGCACTTGTTTTGAGACTGCACGCTCTGAAGTATGGTTGTATTTTCTAGGTGCAAGACACGCTAAAATGTGACATGATGATGGTCAGTTAATACAACGGTGCTTCTGTTTTGTCTTCTCCTGCGTACAGCAGATAGGCAGGGTTCTCATCGACAACGAATTGAGTACAGTAATTTTGAAGACCATCCATGACTTACTTTACCAGTTTACCGATGACAAATGTGAAGGAAAAATGGACACCGCGCTTTGTATGGAAGCATTCACAGA